CAAACACAACAAATAACAAAAACATAGATTAGACTTTTTTTCAGATTAAAACTTAATAATTTTGCCCTCCGGATAGATCGTGTGCACAAGAGAGCACGGAGACACTAGCGGTGTTTCTGTGACGTGAATTCAATCGGCAGTGACTTCGATGGGCGGTGCACTGTTGATGGCTTGTGCTGGACTGAAATGGCTTGGCTTGGCTCCTAAGGGTGTGTGGTGGGTATGGTGATGGAATATGGGAATAGCATTATGCTTTCTGTTTGTGTTTATTTCTCTGTTTCTTCACACTTTATATAATTATTTTAAGCTCGTAAGTCATTTCATTTTATAGATTAATTATATAAAGAGTAAGTAAGAGGTATTATGAGAGATTTACCATACGAATTGACGATGGATCAAGTGTGTGTGTGTGTGTGAAATCAGTTATAGAATGATAGGAAAGAGGATTGTAAGACGCTTGGTTTAAGGCCAGGGTAGTTAGAACCTAACCTAACCTCTACACCAACGCTTCCAGCCTCATGAGATGAATTGGTAGTTCGTCTTGAAAGCATTGCGACTTACTGACAGCTTCCTGGTATTTTACTTAAGAGAAAATACATGACATACAATAACCTCTTATAGTGTAGTGTGTGTGTGTGTGTGTGTGTGTGTGTGTGTGTGTTTGTGATTTATAGATATTTACAGACAAAAAATCTATAATGAAAAACATGAACACACACACACACAGGAGGACACTAGTATCCAGTCTGAGAGGTCCTCCCTGCACACAGTTTACCTTGCTTGTTCCGCGTTTAATTGATGTTGGTAGTAGGCGGTAACTCAGTATGTGTTGCCAGCCTCAACGGGGTTTACTGAGAAGTGAGAGGAGGAAGAAAGGAGAGGAGAACCACTGTCCTATGTGGCAGTGAACAGAGATAGCACCCTCAGTGTCAAGACCTGACTGAATTACTCACAATAGGCAAACTGTACTCCAAGCTTTGGCAATAAATTTGTTAACTGTTAACCGTTACAAGGACCTCAGTTGGGTGATGGGATACTGTATTGTAGATCACTTGAAGATTACACACCCAACCCAACCCAATTCAACCCATCTCTAACCTAACCCAAACCAACCCAACCCAAACCAACCTAACCCAACCCAACCCAACCCAACCCAACCCAACCCAAACCAACCCATCCCAACCCAACCCAAACCAAACCAACCCAACCCAACCCAAACCTAACCTAACCCTATCTAAATACTAAGGTAAACATAGAAGTGTAAATATAACAAGAGTCCGTTATCTATGCAGTGATTGACGGAATAATGAAAAAAAAAATCCGGTTGATGAAAAATTATACACAGTTGCATGATAACTACTTATTTCTATCTACAGTACATAGAGCAGTAATGATGAATGAATGGCGGTGAATGAAGGGAGAGGAGTAAGAATGGATGAATGGCAATGAATGCTTCTTATGACTGGGTTCTGTAATACTGTTCTTGTATCCCTCTGGTGGCAACAAGATTAATAAATGTCACCAATTATATTAAGCAATTGTGATTGGTCAAAAAATGAATATTGTCACAGTATATAAGCATTTGTGATTGGTTTAAACTTTCTGAAGGATTTTGTCTCAACTCGTCTCTTCCCACGGGTGAATTATTTATCTCTGAATTATAGGAAACGAAGGTGTATTTATTTGTTTGTTTACCGAGTCCGCGTGGTGTGGCTGGGTGGAGAGTCGAACGTTCCTCAAACACACATAAACATTGTATTCAACTCACAAACAAACAGAATTTATCATATGACTGGTCTTTTAACTTAACCTAAACTAACGTAAACATAACTTAACCTAACGTAAACCTAACCTAATCTAACGTAACGTAACCTAACCTAACTTAACCACAGAAGGGCCTCATGCACTCACGTTCTAGTTCCTCTCTGATCACTGTTCTACACACTTCCCGTTCTCTATTGCTTCACTGTCTCTCCCGGCACCGTTCTGATGCTATAGTGAGTTGGGTGTCAGACTGTTAACACCACCAACAAATAAATAGTGGGTTCAGGCTAGGTCTGGGGGGGGGGGGAGGTCATGGGTCAATAAGGACCATTGACTCCTTGAGATTTCACCCAAGCTAACTTTATCAAACTAATTTAATCTAATCTAATCTTACCTACCTAACGTAATCTAACCTTACCTTATGTAACGTAACATAACCTTACCTAATCGAGCGTCGAATATTTGTACGAAGGAAGAACAGCGTGATAATTAAGTGCTGTGTTTCAGTGATGACGAGGCTAAAGCAGGCGCACCTGACCTAACCTGACCTTGCTCCTTAGACACAACATAACGTGTGGTTCGAGGGCTGACTGTTAGCATGTCGCCGAGTGAGTGATGTTTTCCTACCACTGCCTGTCTGTTCATATGTTTTTACCAACAGATGCTAATTTCTGATGGGTGGACGGATTGACGTTCCACCCAGATCGTGACGTCATTTAAACAATCGGAACTTCGTGTTTTCTTTTTCCTTGTGGTTATCAGCACATACACACACACACACACACACACACACACACACACACACACACACACATATATATATATATATATATATATATATATATATATATATATATATATATATATATATATATATATATATATATATGTTTGAAATAGCGTAAATATAATAATAATAATTGTATCACAAAAGGTTTAATCCATCACATTATGTAATTTATATTTTGAAGACTTTATTTAAAACTTTTAAAAAAGAATTTGAATTGTATATCTTGGGTGCTACTATAGCGTGTGACGTACAAGATATTTAGGTTAGGTTAGACTTTAGTGAAAGGAGAGGTGTAATGTGACTTAGTACAGTATATAAATTTCCGTAATTAAATCGTAAACGGATGACAGTAACCAGCTGGGTGACGTAGAGTGACAGACAGCAGGACGGTGGCTGGTGGTCGTCACATTCGCCAGCAACATGTTCACTCACTTGCTGTCACCGGTGTTATCTCCCACCAGCCAGGAAGTGTTTACACTGGATATGAAATTTAAAAAAAAATAATAATTAAAGTTATATTTTGTCATCGAATTTTAAAAAAATTCTATAAAATATCTCTGTGTGTTGTAGGTAAAATAGATGGTTAATATTAATGTGAGTGAGGGTTTAGTTGTTATGGTGTGTTGTCTAAAATAGTTTGAGACAGCTGGCCGGAGCCCAAGAGTTGTAAGCAACCAACCGCTCTAGTCGTCAGTGTTAGCGGCGGCGCGCGTCACGTTAGTGGCCGCTGGTACAGAGCTACACGTTACCCCAGTACACGCACACGTCATCATCATGGATATATCGTAGCCTGTGTCATCCTGTGATAAAGTGATGGCTGTGTGTACCCGTAGTTAAACAAGGTGGAGGCTAAGGAGTGAGTGTTGGACCGGGCTCAGTGAAGACTAGTGGTAGACTTATCCGGCAAGACTCTGCTGTACACCCATTTGTGGTAGTGTTGGAAGGTGATGAGTGATGGCCGTGTATTAAGTCACGTAGTAACAACAAACTGAAAAAATATGATAATGTTTGTGTTGTAATGTTATAAGATACAGTGACGCGTTTATAGTGTTGATAGTGAGGGAGGTTCCGAGTAGCCCAGAGGTGTGGTGGTGGTGGCGGCCCGGATGATGACAGTAGAGTCTATAATTATTAAATTATAAATACTCGCCCCAGGGATCGTTTTCTTCTGTTTTTATTTATTTATTATTTTTGTATTGGGAGGACGGGGGTTATAATGGTGTTTGTTTAAGGTCTAGTGGTACATCTATCGCAAATATAAAGACATCCTGTGCAGCTCCCCCGTGTGTATGTGTTGATAAGACACGTGCACAGTCTGTGGCCGATCAAACGTCAGGTATCACGGAAAATTATACCAACTGACAGAAACTAATTGATAGTTTCGCCCCCAAAAATAAAATCATAAGGAAACTTTTTAAACTTTTCATACTTTTTTTAAACTGTTTTGTAATGGCCTCACATGCTACCTTGGGAGGGAATTTCCGGAGACACGATGCTACTTGAAGCAGTCTCCTCGGATTGGCTAAACAGATATCTTTAGTGTGTGTGTGTGTGTGTGTGTGTATTAGCACTGTATTATGCTGTTTAGATGTGAGTTAAGAGCATCGTGTTAACCTTTATCATGAGACAAAATTACGACACTTCTGTAGTTTGAAATTTTGTCTCTTCGTCATTAGGTTTTCCGTAGAGATTAAGGGATGTGTTTTGCATCCTTTTACCTGGAGTCTGAGGGAAATAATGAAGAATTACAAAACTAGTAACTCAGAAAGTACCCTTCCCTTCCCTTCCCTACCCTACCCTACCCTTCCCTTCCCTACCCTACCCTACCCTACCCTACCCTTCCCTTCCCTTCCCTACCCTACCCTACCCTACCCTACCCTACCCTACCCTACCCTACCCTACCCTAACTTAACAGAACCTACTCAAAGCTAACCTGACCTAAGCTACCTTACCCTACCTATCCTCCCCCCCCCCAGGTAGTATTATAGTGTTTAAAATACCCAGATAAAATATTCTGTGGCGGGGAGGAGAGAGAGGGTAATGGCGGGGAGAGAGAGGGAAGAAGGGGGAGGAGTCCATCTTCCCACCCTACACCTCTCCTCCCGCCCTATTCCTCTCCTGCCCCCTCCAATAGATGGGATTTCATGTTAACTTTACCCCCCAAAAAACAATTAAACTTAAGAGGCCTTATACTAAACATCTATAGTTGAGGGATAAAATTCTTGTACTCTGTTGGCTAAGATTTCAGGGAGAGGAATAATGCCGTCGTGTTATGGTATTTGTGAAGCTGTGAAAATGTGTTGGGGATTAGAATTAGTTTACGGTATTAATATGGTGTAAATACTCGGGATTAAAGGATTAAACTTAGGATTAACGATCTCTAACTGTTGGACATTTACAAAACAGGATTTACTGTAGATTTGACACCCCATACAACAGGAAAAGTCACATGGTGTGTTTTGGTTTTGTTTTATTAATGGAAGCAACACAGTCGAGGTGGTACGGGACACTACTCACTGTCATGAAAATTCGTGAAAAAAGATAAAAAAAAAAAACGACAAAAATATTAGAATCATATGTAGATTCTTATGGAAGGAGAAAGAAACTGCTTTTACCAAGGAGGACCATTAGTGTTTATAGAAGAGCTAGTTTAAGCCTTTGGAATACACAATATAGACCGGACCTAGTGAAAAGCTTTTATCAATAAATGCAATAACATATTCTAGGAGGAAAACCTCGAGTGTGATACTAGACATAAGTGTGTATGTGTCACTTGGCGTAGTTGGAGGTGAGGTGACGCGTGACGGCTCTGTGCGTCATCATCATCCAGGCGTGTAGTGGGTGAGGTGACGGCTGGCTCTGTGCGTCATCATCATCCAGGCGTGTAGTGGGTGAGGTGACGGCTGGCTCTGTGCGTCATCATCATCCAGGCGTGTAGTGGGTGAGGTGACGGCTGGCTCTGTGCGTCATCATCCAGGCGTGTAGTGGGTGAGGTGACGGCTGGCTCTGTGCGTCATCATCCAGGCGTGTAGTGGGTGAGGTGACGGCTGGCTCTGTGCGTCATCATCATCCAGGCGTGTAGTGGGTGAGGTGACGGCTGGCTCTGTGCGTCATCATCATCCACGCGTGTAGCTAGAGCCGAGATGGGCTGCACGATGTCCATGGAGGAGAAGGCGGCTATGGCCAAGAGTCGGGAGATCGACCGTGACTTGTTCTTCGCGGCCGAGAGCGCTGCCAGGGACGTAAAGCTCCTCCTCTTGGGTAAGTTGTAGTGAGTGAGTGTTTGTCCTGCCCCCAAAACAACGCATCAGGATACAGTTCCACAAGTGTCCTGTACTGTTGCTGTAAGTTCAGGTTTTGATGACGTTTATAAATTTTGTAGTGTTTTGTGCTGTAACCTGACCACTTAACTGTAGTTGTTGTTAATACACTTTACGGAGGTTTGACATCTAACGGACCCTCGATATAATGGATTTTCTTTTCTATATTGTCCGTTAAATAGAGGTTTTAGTGTACAGAGGAATTGGAACATTATGGAGTTATCTCAGGTTTAGTGTGTGTGTGTGTGTGTGTGTGTGTGTGTGTGTGTGTGTGTGTGTGTGTGTGTGTGTGTGTGTGTGTGTGTGTGTGTGATTCACTGCACGATGCGGATATATTAAAAGGTTCTCACGCCTTTAGAATATCCCGCCCGGCCGCTGATGCTGTCTAACACTGCACTCAATGGGTCCACTTAGGCTAAAAACGTAAAATTTGGCGCCATTAAACTTCAAAATAGCCCAAAATTATGGTAGAAAGGGTTGGTATATTTTTTATCTACCTCTGAGTATACTTTATCTACCTCTGAGTATACTTTATCTACCTCTGAGTATACTTTATCTACCTCTGAGTATACTTTATCTACCTCTGAGTATACTTTATCTACCTCTGAGTATACTTTATCTACCTCTGAGTATACTTTATCTACCACTGAGTATACTTTATCTACCTCTGAGTATACTTTATCTACCTCTGAGTATACTTTATCTACCTCTGAGTATACTTTATCTACCTCTGAGTATACTTTATCTACCTCTGAGTATACTTTATCTACCACTGAGTATACTTTATCTACCTCTGAGTATACTTTATCTACCTCTGAGTATACTTTATCTACCTCTGAGTATACTTTATCTACCTCTGAGTATACTTTATCTACCTTTTGTCTCCTACCTGAAGAATCTGCAGGCAAGGTTAGGTTAGGTTACGTTACGTTACGTTAGGTTATTTGTGTTCTTAATCTGTGTTACTGAGGAGGAGAGGGCTGGTTGGTTGGTTGGAGGGAAAGAGAGATGGAGGGTTGGTTAATTGAGGAGAGAGAGGGAGAGTTAGTTGGAGAAAAGGTGGGATAGTTGGAGGGTTGGAGACAGAAAGGGAGGGGGTTTAGTTGGAGGAAGGGAAGGAAGGAGGGTAGTAGGAGAGAGGGAGAGGTAGGAGGAGGGTGGTAGGAGGGAGGGAGAGAGGAATGTGTTGGTACAGTGTTATGAGTGTTTCCTCTGTGTGGCGGGTCTCTCCCTGTTAGTTCACGGGGAGGAGTGCTGGTGATTGATCCTGCTACTGGCTTACAACAGGCTCCTATAACTCATTCACACACACACACACACAGGAATTTACACACAGGCACACACATACATACAGGCGCACACACACACAGACATTCACACACAAGCTGTTACTACTACTACTTTGCTGTCACTCGGAATCGAGTATGACGATTATCCAGCTATGATACAATGAAGTGGGTTATTAAGGATGTCACCTTGGTTGGTGAGTTTTGAGGTGACTAAAGAGGCCGATACGGGACCGATATAGTTGTTCACAGATGTTGCACATGTGGAGGGCTGCATCTAGTGCGGGAGGGGCGGCGGCAGCGTCTTTTCGGCGCTGCCGCTTGTCTGCCTCGGTTTGCAGTCGGGCTAGGCATTCACACATAACACACACACAAACACACACACACACACACACACACACACACACATACACACAGGCATTCACACACAGGGACACTCATTCACACACACAAACACACACACACACATATTCCTTCAATCTCTCTTTCTCTCTCTCTGGTCTAATTGCTCATGATCGCTTGAGTTGCCTCTTATTTTCAGCCGTGGAGGAACATTCTTGGCATCCAGCATTGTGTACAGAAGGTGGGTGTCCTCTCTCTCTCTCTCTCTCTCTCTCTCTCTCTCTCTCTCTCTCTCTCTCTCTCCACAGGGCACAGTGTAGAGCCTGTGCTAATTATGCAAGCCTGGGTGTTACCGAGTGTTGAAGACGGTGTTGGTGTGTGGGGGTAGTGAGGGTGTAAGAGGGGGTGGTGAGGATATTGGGGGAGGTGTTGCTGAGTGTTGGAGGAGGTGTTAGTGTGTGGGAGAGAGTAGTTGGGTCTAGTAGGGGGTGTTGGAGAAGGTGTTGGGGGTGTTGTAAAAGGTGTTGAAGCGTTGGAGGAGGTGTTGCTGAGTGTTGGAGGAGTTGGAGAGGGTGTCGCTGGTGTCACAGTCTCCAAGTGTCGTTTATTGTAATTGAGTTGAGTTGAGTCACTGAAATGTGCTGAAGCTGTTTTTAGTACAGTCCCCCCCCCTTCCCCCCACTCTCCCGATCTCCCCACTTCTCGTCCTCTCTCTCCCTCTCTTCTCCCCTCCTTCATCTTCTATCCCTCTTCCCTTCCCCCCTCCTCCCCTCTCCTCTCCCCATCCCCCCTCCTCTCCTCTTTCTCTCCCTTTCCTCTCCCTCTCCTCCTTCTTCCTTGAGTTCGGATAGGCTCCAGGGAGAAGCAACACCAGCTAGCTAATCCCACCAGGACGGTTCCAAGGTGTGTGCCCATTAAACAAACTAATTGGCACTCTGGATTACAACACCTCCCTTCCCTTCCCACCCGGATTACTACCCTTCCTCTCTCCTTCCATTTCTTTATTCCCTCCCTAGCTTCCCTCCCTACCCTCTCTAGATTCCCTCCCTACCCTCTCTAGATTCCCTCCCTACCCTCCCTAGATTCCCTCCCTACCCTCTCTAGATTCCCTCCCTACTCCCTCCCCTACCCTCCTCTCAAACCTACACCTTCCTTCCTCCCTCCCCGCTGGCCAATAACGACGACTGTCAACTTGTTGTTCCAAGAAAGCCGAGTTGTGATTGGCTTAGCTTGTTGTTTCCAAGGAGAGAGAGAGAGAGAGAGAGAGAGAGAGAGAGAGAGAGAGAGAGAGAGAGAGAGAGAGTGTTACGTTGGTTGGATACAAAGAGAGAGTGAGACACAATGTTGGTTAGATACACAGAGAGGGGGGGGAGAGAGAGGAAGGAAGGAAGAGAGAGAGAGAGGGGGGACGAAGAGAAAGAGAAAGGGAGAGAGGAAGGAAGGGAGATAAAGAGAGAGAGAGAGAGATTTAAAGTCAAGCCTCGGGTATATATGTCAAAGGTGCCGAAGTATTAAGTTAATTATAAATCTCCAGCAGTTACCCCGGAAATTCTAGAATGTCTCTCGCGTCACTGTGTGTGTGTGTGTGTGTCTGTGTGTGTGTGTCTGTGTGTCTGTGTGTGTGTGTGTGTGTGTGTGTGTGTGTGTGTGTGTGTGTGTGTGTGTGTGTGTGTGTGTGTGTGTGTGTGTGTGTGTGTGTGAAGGTTCAGACGGGTATAACCATCCTGGGGATAACCACCACAGTTATCTCCCCGGCTTCTTACACACCCTTCCTGCCCCTTTAAACACCTTTCTCCCTTCTCTGGCGTAGTCTGGTGTGTACTGTATGTATGTATGTATGTATGTATGCAAGTGTTCTATTTTAGTGAAGAAATATATAATGTTAATCTAAATCCTTTCGTAATGGAATTTTGGAGAGAGAGAGAGAGAGAGAGAGAGAGAGAGAGAGAGAGAGAGAGAGAGAGAGAGAGAGAGAGAGAGAGAGGTTCTTATCACGTATTTATATAAAGTTACTTCGAGTGTGACTGTTTGTAGCAATAGGGTTAGGTTAGGTTTGTTTAGGTCAGGTTAGGTTTACCTGTAGTGGTGGAGTTATTATGTAATGCCTCACCTGAGTTACCTCCTTCTAGGTTAATTAGTTTAGGGTTTTTTCTCATAAAAATTCTTTGTGTGTACTCCACCTACAATGCTGCTGTTGGGGATGGTGGTGGTTGTGGTAGTAGTGGTGGTTGTGGTGGTAGTGGTAGTAGTAGTAGTAGTAGGTAATAAAATGGCGGCGAAGGTGTGGCTATAGAGGGAGGATGGAGGCTACGTATAAAAAAAAAAGTAGTAGTAGTAGCAGTAGTAGTATTGATCATTGCACACGGCATTGCTGAACGCGTGAGGAGGAAGGTATACTACTGCTGGTGATGATGTCGTTTGGTAGTCAACACACACACACACACACACACAGATGGTCAAGGGTGATGCTGGCACGTGTGGTCTTGTGTCATCCCGTAAGATCGAGTTTGGTGTTGTTGAGAAGCTGTAATTTACGACATATATAATTGGGCTTGAATCAACGGCATACAGACAGTTGTGTGTGTGTGTGTGTGTGTGTGTGTGTGTGTGTGTGTGTGTGTGTTTTGGGAGGCATTTATCTTGTTCTTATCTCAACACAGGAGGAGGGGGCACGTGTCTGTAGTCCTTTTCATCACCCGGTCGGTCGGTCGGTCGGTCGGTCGGTCGGGCAGGCAGACGCTGAAGCCCTGTAGGTCTGGCAGCAGGCGACGTGTGGTGGGGACAATAGGAGTAATGTCTTGGTGTGTGTGTGTGTGTGTAGATGACAGTGGCAGCAAACTCTTATTGTTACCCCCTCAAGGAGCCATGATCCGACCTAGTCTCTCTCCCTCATCCCTATTCCCACTCATCTTGCCTGCTTCACTAACCTTCCTTACTCTCCCTCGCCGCCCCGCCCCGCCTCTCTACCTAATCCCCAACCTATAGCCTTACCTCCCCCACCTAATCCATAACCTCACCACCACCCCAATCCCCACCACCACCACCCAATCCCCATTCAACCTCGCCGCCCCCACCCAATATCCGGCCTTTAACCAACACCACACAGTCTTTCCATCCGTATAACACAGCTTCGGTGAAAATGGATAGGAGTTTTAAGGTCTCTCTCTCTCTCTCTCTCTCTCTCGTCCACTGAGCAGTAAACAGAAACCTTGGGAAAAAACCCTTAAAGAACATTTTATTTTCTTCTCATACGTTTTTTAAGACTTTCTATGTTCGTAGTTTAAACAAGAAAGCGTAATGTTACGTTAAGTAG